GCTTTCGTTGATCTGTTCTACTTTTTTTTTTTTTTTTTTTTTTTTGGTTTTGATAGCATTAGTTTCTGCTCTAATCTTTATTATTTCCTGTCTTCTGCTGGTTTTGGGTTTTATTTGCTGTTCTTTTTCCAGCTCTTTAAGGCCTCAGGTTAGGTTGTGTATCTGAGGTCTTTCTTCCTTCTTTAGGAAGGCCTGGATTGCTATATACTTTCCTCTTATGACTGCCTTTGCTGTGTGCCAGAGGTTTTGGGTTGTGGTATTATCATCTTCATTGGCTTCCATGAACTTTTTAATTTCATCTTTAACTGCTTGGTTAGCCCATTCATTCTTCACTAGGATGTTCTTCAGTCTCCAAGTATTTGTTACCTTTCCAAATTTTTTCTTGTGGTTGATTTCGAGTTTCATAGCGTTGTGGTCTGAAAATATGCACAGTATGATATCGATCCTTTGTACTTGCTGAGGGCTGATTTGTGTCCCAGTATGTGGTCTGTTCTGGAGAACGTTCCATGTGCACTGGAGGTGAATGTATATTCTGTTGCTTTAGGATGAAATGTTCTGAATATATCTGTTAAGTCCATGTGGTCCAGGGTGTTATTCAAAGCCATTGTTTCCTTGTTGATTTTTTGACTAGATGATCTGTCCATTGCTGTGAGTGGGGTGTTGAAGTCTCCTACTTTTATGGTATTACTATCGATGAGTTTCTTTATGTTTGTGATTGATTTATATATTTGGGTTCTGCCACATTTGGTGCATAAATGTTTAGAATTATTAGGTCTTCTTGGTGGGTAGACCCCTTGATTTTGATATAATGCCCTTCTTCATCTCTTGGTACAGTCTTTAAAGTCTAAATTATCTGATATAAGTATGGCTACTCTGGCTTTCTTTTGTTGACCATTAGCATGATAGATGGTTCTCCATTTGCTTACTTTCAGTCTAAAGGTGTCTTTAGGTCTAAAGTGGGTCTCTTGTAAACAGCATATAGATGGATCTTGTTTTCTTATCCATTCTGTTACCCTATGTCTTTTGATTGGAGCATTGAGTCCATTGATGTTTAGATTGAGTACTGGAAGATATGAATGTATTGCCATTATGTTGCTTGTAGAGTTGGAGTTTCTGGTGGTGTTCTCTGGTCCTTTCTAGTCTTTGTTGCTTTTGGTATTCATTTATTTATTTATTTGTTTATTATTTATTTATTTATTTTATCTTTTCTCCCCTCAGAGAGTCCCCCTTAAAATCTTTTGCAGGGTTGTTTTAGTGGTCATGAACTCCTTTAAGTTTTGTTTGGGAAACTTTACCTCCTATTTTGAATGACACCCTTGCTGCATAAAGAATTCTTGGCTGCATATTTTTCTGAGTCAAGCACAATTAATATATCCTGCCACTCCTTTCTGGCCTGCAAAGTTTCTGTGGATAGGTCTGTTACAAACCTGATATGTCTTCCCTTGTAGGTTAGGGACTTTTTTTCCCTTGCTGCTTTCCTGATTCTCTCCTGGCTTCAGTATTTTGTGAATTTGACTATGATATTCCTTATTGATGGTCAGTTTTTGTTGAATCTAATGGGAGTTCTGTGTGCTTCCTGAGTTTTGATATCTGTGTCTTTTCCTAGGTTAGGAAAATTTTCCACTATGATTTGTTCACATAACCCTTCTACCCCTATTTCTCTCTCTTCCTCTTCTGGAACGCCTGTGATTCTGATGTTTTTTCCTTTTTAATGAATTACTGATTTGTCTAATTCTTAAATCATGCTCTTTTGCCTTAATCTCCCTCTTTTTTTCTGCTTCATTATTCTTCATAAATTTGTCCTCTATATCGCTCATTCCTGTTTTGCCCCATCCATCCTTGCTGCCGTGGCATCCATCCAAGATTGCAGCTCAGTTATAGCATGTTTTATTTCATCCTGACTAGCTTTTACGTCTTTTATCTCCGCAGAAAGGGATTCTAATCTATTTTCGACTCCAGCTAGTGTTCGTATTATCGTGATTCTAAATTCTGGTTCAGACATCTTGTTTCTGTCTCTGTTGGTTAAATCCTTGGCTGTCGTTTCTTCGTGCTCTTTCCTTTGGGGTGAATTCCTTCGTTTCATCATTTTGAAGGGAGAAAAAGGATTAATGAGGTAAAAAAATTAAGTGTTAAAAACAAAGAAACACACACACACACAAAATCAAATATATGATGCTAGATCTTAGGTGTGTTTTGGTCTGGGTGTTGAAAGGGTCTTGACAGATTAGAGAAAAAAGGGGAACGAAAAAAACAAATTGTTTGAAAATTTGAAAAAATGAATACACTGAAGTGACTAAAATGAATTGGTGGAATTAAATAGAATTTGAAGAAATTTACCCAAAAGTAAAAAATACAGTAGAAAAAAATAAAATATTGTTTACATTTTTGTTAATGTTTATTTATTTTTGAGAGAGAGAGATCATGAGCAGGGGAGGGGCAGAGAGAGAGGAAGCAGGCTCCAGGCTCTGAGCTGTCAGCACAGAGCCCGATGCAGGGCTTTAACTCACAAATCATGAGGTCATGACCTGAGCTGACATCCGATGCTTAACCGAGTGAGCCACCCAAGTGCCCCCCAAATTAAAATATTTTTAATAAAAATTGAAAATAAAAATGAGGTTTTTCTCTTTATGTGTTCAAGAAAAAGAAAAGAAACAAAAAATAGAAAAAAAGAAAATTGAATAGATGGGCCAGTGAACATACTGAAAATATGACTGAAATCACTTCATTTTCCCCTAGAAGTCAAACTATGAAGCACTTTATAGTCCATAAACTAAGCAGGCGGAGAGACTTGTGTTCCTGAAGATCAAGGTTGGCCCAGTTGCGCGGGACTCAGTGTAACGGTTCGGTTCTCCAGTAGATGGTGCTGCTTACCTTACTGGGGTGGATTGTTGTAGTGCTCGTGGGTGCGCATGCGCACGCGCAGGAGTGGTAAAAATGGCATCACCCAGCTAGCCAGTCTCTAGTATTGGAACTCTGTTCTCCCCGATCAGCAATCGTGCACCAGTCCTTTGTCTTTGGCTTCTATCCACTCCCGCTTTTACACAGTCCATGACCAAGCCCCAGGCAGCACCTCCCTCCTGAGTTTTGTCTCAGACGTGGCTGTTTTTCCCGACCTCTTACTTCTGAGGGACTGCGGCTTTGACCCTTTCTGCCCATCTGCAGGAGGGTCTCATCGAGCAATGTCTGGGTGCCAGCCGCACCCAGGAACATTTGTGGGGCCATGCCGCTGCCAATGCCCAGAGACTATGGCTGGGTGCCAGCCCTCCCCAGAAAAAGTTCGCAAGATAGTGCAGCAGCAGCGTTTCAGGGAGTATGGAAAATCACAACACACATCTGGCACCAGGCTTTACCCTTAACGACCTTGTTCCAGCACCAGCGAATGTGGTTGTTCTCCCGGGTCCACTTGGACCTTGCCTTTGGGGGACCCACACAGCCTCTACCCGGTGTCCTCCCAGCAGGGGAACCGCCTCTCCCCACGTGACCTGAAGAACCCCAGAATCCACTCTACTCCTGGGGATTCACCCTTCACACCAGAGCACATCCAGGTATTGAGCTGCAGAGTTGCAGACTCTGCGCTCCCCGTGTTTAGAGTCTTAATGGAATTTAAACCCTCTCCTTTCTCCTTTCTCCCTTTTTAGTTCAGTCCCTGCAGCCATTTCCACTTTTCCATTTTCTCTCCAGCTGCTTTTGGGGAGGGGTGCTTTTCCCGTATTCTACCCCCCTCCCCAGTCTCCGTCCTCTCTCCGCCCCCAAAAGCGGTTCCCTACCTTTTGTGGCTTCTTGCTCCCCAAATTCACCTCTCCATGCCACGTACCTGCTGAATTCTGTGGTTCAGTTGTGTAGATTGTTGTGTTAATCCTCAGATCAGTTTTCTAGGTGTGCAGCATGGTTTAGTGTTGGTTTGGCTGTATTTCATGGACACGAGACACAAAAAAAACTTCGATCCTGTTCCGCCATCTTAGCTCCTCCGACCAGCATTTTCTTTTAAATAGTGAAATAGGAAAGGATAAAATAGAGTAGGATACAGTAGAATAGAGTAAGACAGAAAAAATAGAAAAAAGGATGTCCTTAAGCACATCATATAATAAGAGTAAGAATTATTTTGTCGAACTTTTGTTTCAGGTACATACATGTATCAAAAAAAAAAAAAAAGATCAAAAGACACTGCTCTGGCCTAAATATTGTTGAGTTACTCTCTAAAGTGATTATACCAGTTGCTTTTCTTACAGCAGTATGAGTGTGCTTTATGATATGTATCCTCACCAACACTAGGTATTATCCCCCTTTAATTTTGCAGATGGGTGAGCTCTGTCTCACTGTGATTGCATTTCCATAGTGAATTTGAGCATCTCTTAATATGTTTATTGTTTCTGTGAGTTTTCTGGTCTTTTGCCCATTTCTAAATTGGATTGTTTTTTTTGTTACTGAGTTTTAGGTATTTATTCTGGATACAAATTCTTTGTAAGCCACCAGTTATATATGTTGAAAATATCTTCTCTCATTCTGTGGCATGTGTTTTCCTTTGTTCATTTTGTTTTTTAGTATGCCATATTTTTTTTAAGTTTTACCAGACATTGTGGTTTATGCTTCTGTGTCTTATTTAAGAAATCTTTCCCTGCCCTAAGGTCACAAAGATGTTTTCTATACCTTCTTCCAAAAGTATGAAAGTTTTGCTTTTTTCATATTCCAGATGGCTTCTCTTACATTTTCTGTGTTGACATATTACAAATTAAACTGTATAGAGTTTTTTCGTATGTTACATTATTCAAGTTGGTGAAGTATTGTCCCAAAACTTACAAAGTATAAAATCTAAAAGTTATATTTTAGAATATTGATTTTTAATAATTGAGCATATCTACTGACTTTTTAATAACAGAGCTAATACAGTTTTTAAACTGTATACTTCTCAGATAAATAATAGCTTGTTGTAGTTGCAAGATGGTATATTCTTTTCCTTCTCTGTTTTTCTCTAATAGAATTTATGTATTTATGTTTTTCAGTCACATTAACTTTATCCTAGAAGACAACTTTACAAGGATCTAGACAGAACAGGATTAAAGATGACTGAATACTGAGCTCCAGAAACTTAAAACAATCAGGTACAAAAATATTTGGAGGGAACTTTCCCAGCCAGTCAGTACAAAATAAAATGGGAACGTACATAGGAAAACTTAAAATATCCTTGAAATACAGGAGAGGGTCCAAGAGAGAAGTTTTGAAATCCATCTTGTGTTCAAATATTGGCTCTAACCCCGACTGGTTGGTGATGGTTGGTAAAGTTTTGTAAACATGTCCATAAAATGGAGGCAATGATTGTGTCTGTTCATTTTGGCTATTGTAAAGTTTAATGAGATAATATAAGGCACTTAATACTTGGCACAGGGTTACTGTTTATTTTAACCATTATTATTGTTGCTACTGTTATTTGTAATTCAAAGGTATGGTATTCTGTATATTGTGGATTTTTAGGAAGTATATATTGATATACTGCTATAACATTGATAGTAATAATAGCCTGCTAAAATCATGTAGAAAATAGAATAAGAGAACTATAATACTCACATATATTCCATAAACTATATTCCTTAAGTGGTGCAAATTGATGCTAGTTTTCTCTGTTATGTTTGTATCACACTGAAATAATGTGAGAAAAAAAATCAGTCTACTTTCTACAATGCTAGAGAATTCAACAGTTTTTTTTCACAGTACTGTGCAATAGTACTTATTCTTGAATCATTTTTAAATCGTCAAGAATGTTCTGACCAATAAAGATGAAATTATGTTAATCTTATGGTTAATGTTAGTTGAATCTTACAAATGTTATTTCTTTGATTGTGGTAATTTCAATATGCCACTAATGCAATTATGTCTTAACTTGAGTGTCAAACACAATGGGCTGTGTTCCACCACTCTAATTTTTAAATAGGTACTATAATTGAAATTGATCAAAGACACCAAAAAGAGCTATTTATTTTCTTCCTTTAAAAACTAGGATACTCAGTTGATTAAACAAACCAACAAAACAAAACAAAAACTCTGTTAGCTGATATGAAATGATTTCCAGGAGACATATTGTTAACTGAGTTTTAAAAAAATGCAAATTGCCCAAGAGTATATAAAATTGCTATTTTTTATGTAAGGAGGAAACGAAACAGGAAGAATAAACCAGAAAACGATGGAATTGGTTACTTACAATGGTAGAGTGAGGGGTAGGGTGGGAAACGACAAACCGGGATTACTGGTTAATGTGTTGGAAAGATTTCCCTTCTACTAGGCACACGGTAGCCTACAATACAATGAGAGGCATCTCTTCTTTGGTCCCTTTTTCTCCTCTTATTAATTTCCTCTTTTTTCTTGCCTTTGACTTCTTTTCTAGTTTTTTTCTCTTCCTCTTTCTTTTTTCCCTCTCCTCTTTTTGTTTTTTGTTCTAGTAAACTTGGGGCAAAATGTAGATGATGCAGTTAGGATGAAACAAAACAAAAAGAATCTTCAATGCAGGCAGTCTCTTGTATACAAAAAGCTGTATTCAAAGGATGCTTTCAACCAGTATATGGTATTGTGGTCTGTTGTGACCCATGTCCTGCGGTGGTTATAGCAATGAACGAGTCAGGGTTGCCTCTCTTAACAACGCTTGCAAATTAATAGAGAAGCACAGATCAAGTAGGATTAACTGTCACATGAAATTATCTTCCCATATTGGCAACTAGACCAAGTTTTATAAATAAATAAGTGAGAAAAGTCTAAGTGATTATTTTAAAAACAAGCATATCTTTTCCAAACATTAGAAACAATGATTTGTATCAGTTGTCATAGTTTGAGTTACAGTTATTCTGAATATGATTATTCCTTATATTCTAAGAGACCTTTCCATAGCTGATGAGAACAAAATTTTACCAGCATTCTCTATTATAAAGCTCTAACTGCTTATAAATAATATCAGATAAAATGTTCTGATGTTAGTCCCTTTGAAATGTGGATTGTATTTGTTTGAGTAAATAGAACCCAAACTAATAAATCAGAAATATCAACATTATTAAATACGATTTCATTCTATTGCTTTGGGGTAGAGGAGAATATTTCTTTATATATGTTTTTAGTGATGGGATAGTTAACTGTGTAATGATTGAACCACAGTCTAGACATACTGCGTATCTTTTGTTAGAGCTGCTTCTGCTGTTACTTCTATGTGGTAGAAAGTAGTCATTGTGGAGATGGTTAATTAAGGCAAGAACGTTCAGTGCTGTTGCTACATACTTGGTGGCTGTTGTTGCAGATTTTTTGTTAAAGTCTAGGATAACAAAGCCATATTTGGTTCATCCTTTCATTTTTTTCATTCATTCCTCCTTTTTCTTTCTTTCTTTCTTTTTTTTTTTTTTTTTTTTTCCAGCTTAGCAAATCGTACACTCTTCAGTGGAGCTGAGAACTGATAAGTCTGCTGTTCACAGATTTGGAACTTTCCAATCCCAGGGAAAATTTGACCAAGGTCTAAAATTTTATTTTTCCTTATCTAGAGGAGGTCAACTGTAAAATGAAAATTTTCTACTTATTTCCTTATAGATTTAAGAATCTTCATTTATCCTGGGATTACTTTTCCAGACCTCAGCAGGAGGATTACATAAGAGACCATAAGATAGTTTCAGAACAGTTAAAACACCTTTTGGTTTTTATAGCTGTTAACTCTCATGCCTACACCTTAATTCCCTTATCTTCCCTTCACCATATTTGAGCTTAGCTTATTTTCTCTGTTAATTGGAAGTAAAATAATTTTAACCTGCCTAGTTTCATTCCACATGCAGGATCCTGATTTTACCACATACTTTTTCCTCAGGGACTGCACAGGACTGAGTCCATATGGAAGAAGAGCTTTCCCTTTCCTATGGAGAAAGTGGCAAGGTTAGAAAAAACAAACAAAAACATGCCTCTGGAGCATGTATTTTCTGTTGCATGAAACCTATACCAATCATCTGTTGGTCATCCAATAGGAAGATCAGTGAGATAGTACTTGTCTTTGAGGGGCTCACAGTGTAGTTACTCAGATGCAAACATAATTACTGTGGGTACAGAGAATGCCAAAGGGGCTGGCAGAAAACTGTGGGTATTGTCTGAGGGGTAGGGCAGGGTTCCTGAAGATGGTGCCTTTTGAGCTGGATGAGGAGTACAGACCATCCCTGCTTTCACAGATAATATCACCCTGCAAGAGGGTCTGAGTTGAGCAATGTTTGCTCCATTCCCAGAGATTTCAGAAAACTATAAAACACCTAATCTTAGATGACATATTCTTAATTCATCACAGATATTCTTTAACTTATTCATTTTCCACCACAGCTTAACATTACAGTCAACCAGCTTAAGTCTTGTCAGTGTCCAACTGATGTTAGAAGTTTCACACTTTTCAGCATGCACATCATTTTCCATCTTATGTTAATTTTATTAAATTGACATGATGTCTGTTCTTCGTTAGTAACAATATTAACTGCCACTGTTAACTTTCATTTTCCTGTTTTCTGCTCTTTTTAAATAAATATGGTCAAAACACAATAAAAGATGTAAATAATTATACAAAGCCAGCATAGTGTGCAAAGATGGCAGAACTTCTAAAACTGAACCATAGTATCACCATGGACGTGTTTGTTGTGAACCCTTGTAGGAAGTATGAAAGTAGCTTACAAAAGTAATGTATAGAACTTGAGAATGTTATAAAATGCTAACAGAAAAATTCCTAATTTTTCCTGGGAGCAACAGATTTTGTAAAATAGAAGAACAGACTCACAGAATTAGCAATGAAATGACTTTATTACATATAAAGTGTTACATTGCCAGGAAGTCTTCAAAAGGCAAGGTGTTGGTGGGTTTTTTAAAATAACTTTTTTTTTGTTAGGCATGCCCAACGGGTAATTTTGGTTCTAATGCTATATGCGGTATTTTAAATTTAATTGTGACAACTTAGTAATCGTCTGGAGTCAGGTGAAGTATCATAATCTGTTTGGTTCTTCATATTGTTAGAGAAGCAGAGTTAGATCGGTAGCACATACTCAAAAGGATAATAAAATGCTTCTTGGTCTCTAATTTTATGGAGCTTAGTTTCCTTAATTATATTTTTCTTGAGCTAATGTTAAAATTTCACTACTTTGTGTCTCCCAGATAGATGCCAGTGAAAGACGGGGGTGAGGGGCTGGATGTGAGCAAAGTAGTAAAGGAAATCTGGCCAGGAAATAGTTATTACCTATAATAATGTTATCTGTAGGAAGGAGGATTACCTGGGCCAAATTAGGACTGAATTCTAGGGACTGAAATCTAGATGACTTATCTTCTCTACTGCTAAGCTCTCATTTCCTGGCAATGTTTTTGCCCCATTCAGATTTGTCTGTTGCCTGCCTTGGCTCTTGCTCAGCCAGTCCCTTATTTAGCAGGTGGGCACAGAGGTGGTTGGGTGCCTTTTGTAGAGATGGCTGCTGTCATGCAGGGTGGCTGCAGGCCCTACAAGGTGCACTATATGTGAACCCTATGCTACCTACACACTTATTATATACACAAAGTGTATATATACATATAATACATGTACATGTTTATAATACATACAGTGTATACAGCTGTATATACTCTTGAGTGTGGTGGAGAGAAAAATGTATTTTTCTTCTGTGAACAAAGATGTTACAGTTCCTTGAGACTGATACTAAATGTTTACCTCAAAAAGTGTAAATGTATGCATTTCGTAAAGTAAGTCATCAGTTCCCCCATGAAATAACTCCCCCAAAAGACTTAGAAAAATGAATTTTTGATGACTAACCTCCAGGAGCTAGTCTGACAGATATTTGAAAGCAGTGTATTCACACCTCCTTTGTACCCAGGTTATATTGTAAATATTTGTTTTCTATCGTGAGCTCCTTGAAGGGAGTGATGATGTTTCGTTTTTATATCTTTAGATCCTTGCACTCAATACATGTTCAATGATACAGTCAGACCTGATGTTTTGTTGACCTGTGTCATCCTTTAACAAATGTATGACTGCAGGTGACATCACCCCCCCCCCCCCCCAACACACACACACACACACACATGAGGTCCAGTGGTTAGTAGAGTCATGGGGGGGTGGGGGGTGGGTACTAGAGGTTTTATACAGGTGGGCCATGCTTTGTAGACAAGTGTTTAGGAGCTTGTTGGATTTATAACCTGATTCTAGGCATCTAAGAGACCACTTGATTTTTGTAGCAGGGCAAGTTGCAATCCAAAAATCTGCTTGAAAGGAGAAAATGAGGTAGCAGTGCTTATTTTCTCATCGTATATTGCCATCTGCCCTGTTTATGGAAGGTAGCCCACAGTGTGGATTACTGCCCTGTTCAGCAAGGAGTTTATGAGACCAGCCAGTGCCCTGTGATTGCAAGCAGTAGGTCTACCAGTAGTATAACTTTATGTGAACTGTTTTCTCTGCAACATGTGGTGTGTGGAAAGCAATCTTTAGAAGCAAGTGATCTTGGAGGGTTACTTAGTGCTTCTGTGCCTCAGTTTCCTTGCATTTAAAATGAGGATAGCAATATCTATGCCCTACAATTATGAAGGTTGGAAATAATATATAAGAATTCTTTTAACTCACACATTAGTTCATCTATAAATATTTGAGGTCACATTCCAAATGTTGTTCTTTTTTAAATTTATAGACTTAAATAGGAAAAAAAAATAAAATGAAGACCCCATAGAAAATAAGATTCCTTCATGAGATATGGAGGTGGATAATTTATGTAGAAGCTTAGAATAAAAGCTAACCTAACAAGATTCTGTCCTTAGCTCTGTAGTGGCCTTGGGTGCTGCCCAAAAGGGAGTAGAAGACATCCTTCTCCAGACAGAGTCTTAGAACTTGAATGACATCGTGAGGGAAAGTGGCTGGGTTTGGCATCAGAGGAGCTCATCTTGGTCAGGTGCTGCCATTAACTCAGGATGGTGCTGTGAGCTGTTATAAGCTGCTTACCCTCTGTATTAGTTTGTTAGGGCTGCCTTTAAAAAGTACCACATGGGGCGCCTGGGTGGCGCAGTCGGTTAAGCGTCCGACTTCAGCCAGGTCACGATCTCGCAGTCCGTGAGTTCGAGCCCCGCGTCAGGCTCTGGGCTGATGGCTCAGAGCCTGGAGCCTGTTTCCGATTCTGTGTCTCCCTCTCTCTCTGCCCCTCCCCCGTTCATGCTCTGTCTCTCTCTGTCCCAAAAATAAATAAACGTTGAAAAAAGTACCACAAACTGGGTGGCTTGAAGCAATAGAAATTTATTCTTTTATAGCTCTGGAGACTACAAGTCTGCAGTTAAGGCATCAGCAGGGCCATGCTTTCTGAAGGCTCTAGGAAGAAGCCTTCCTTACTTCTTCCCAGCTTCTGGTGGCTCCTGGCAATCTTTGGTGTTCCTGGACCTGTAGCTGGATTGCTTCAGTCTCTGCCTCTTTGGTTCACATGGGCTTCTTCACTATGTGTCTTCACATGGTGTGATGCTGAATTTTATGTGTTAGCTTGAGTGGGCCACTGGTGCCCAGATTAAACATTGCTCTTGCGTGTGTCTCTGAGGGTGTTACCTCACAGAAGAGAAAAGCGTTTGAATTGTTGAGCTCAGTAAATGGTTTGCCCTCCCTGGTGTGGGTGAGCATCATCCAATCTGAAGGGGCTGAAGAGAACAAAAGATAGAGGAAGGAACAAAAGGTAGTGGAACCCTCATGAATGGGATTGGTGCTTTATAAAAGGTGCTTCAGAGAGATCCCTAACCCTTTCATCCTGTGAAGAAACAGGGAGAAGGCAATGGCTATGAAGCAGGAAGGGGGCCTTCATCAGGACATGAGCACTTTGGTGCCTTGATCTTAGATTTCCAACTGCAGAACTGTGAAAAGTAAGCTTTTGTTTTTTATAAGCCACCCAGTCTGGCATGCACTAAGACTCTCCAGTACCTCAGAAGGTGACCTTATTTGGAAATGGGGTCATTGCGATGCATTTGGTTTAGTTACGATGAGGTCATTATGGTAAGCCCTAATCCAGTCTGACTGGTGAGGGGAAATTTGGGCCCAGAGGCAGACATGTATAGAGGGAAGATGATGTAAAGATACAGGGAGAAGATGGCCATCTACAAGCCCAAGACAGAGACCTACATCCTTCCCTTGCAGTCCTCAGGAGGAACTAAACTAGTAGACATTTTGATTTTGAACTTCTAGCCTCCAGAACTGTGAGAAAATAAATTTCTTTTGTGTAAGCCACTTGGTCTGTGGTACTTTGTTATGGCAGCCCTAGCAAATGAATGCACACTTTGTGGGTGTATCTTCCTATCTCCAAACCTGAGTGGGGGGAATGAGAGAAGCCGCTAACTGCTCAACTGGTGGTCAGAATGGACCCATGAACCGGCACTTCTGGGTCGTTTTCTTGGTCACCTTCAGCATTGTTCTTTTCCAAGGACACTTTTTGTTAAGACTTAGGCATCTGATGAAATAGCAGTGCTGTCTCTCTGTTTTTCCTGCCTTTACAACCAGCCTAGTTTCCAGAGCTACATTTAAGACCTAGCCAATGCTGAAAATACTTGCTAGCCATTTGGCCTCCCAGAAGTCAGTCAGGACGATTCCTGTGGCCTTGAGGAAAATTAGTAGGTGAGATCTGATCCCACCTGGAGTCTCTGTCTCTTGGTGGCTGTGAGAGCAGGACTGAAGCAGTGGGTTTGTAGAGGCATTTCCTGTGGCTATAAAGGGTCTCTCAAAAAGAGAGCCGTCCCTGCCTGAACTGGTGCTGACTCTTCTACAGAATTAAAAGGGGAAGGAAAAAAAAGTATTTTTTAATTAATAGTCTTAATGTATATATATATATGTATTTTTTTTTCCTTTTCAGCCAGTACAGGCTACTCTGTCATCTTTGAAGATGTTAGATGTGGGAAAGTGGCCAATTTTCTCCCTTTGTTCTGAGAAAGAACTGCAGTTAATTCGTCAGGCCTGTGTCTTTGGCAGCGCTGGCAATGAAGTTTTATATACTACAGTAAATGATGAGGTAAATTTTGAAGAAAAAATTCAGCCTCTTACCGTAATAGATTCGACGGAGTGGGGCAGAAACTGAGGAATTACGGTTAAGAAGAAAGCATGAGAGTACATTCTTACTTGTTACATAATGTTATACAATGAAGCAGTAATTACAGGTTTGTCAGAAATAGAGGTGCTTGAACTAACAGTCGTTTTCCCACAGATTTTTGTGCTTGGCACAAACTGCTGTGGCTGTTTGGGATTAGGTGACGTCCAGAGCACCATTGAACCTCGGAGACTGGATTCTTTAAGTGGCAAAAAAATAGCCTGCCTCAGCTATGGGAGTGGCCCCCATATTGTCCTTGCCACAACAGGTAACCTAGGATCACAGTGTAGAGGTTTAGCCATTGCCTTATTTGTTGAGAAACAAGATTTGGGACAACCCGTTAAATCGAGAACATACTTCTTGATTGGGTAGGAGTTTCCGGCTCTGTCCTGTGAACTTGACTGTGCTTTGGACAATGTGAAATATGAACATGTCTGAGTATCAGAGTAAGATAATGGAGCAGATGGAATCTAGCAGTTATTGGCACTTTCGATGTGAGAATGACAGTGCTATAAGCCCAGTAAACCCCTTTTGTTTACACTTCATAAGTTTAATTATTTTGCATTAAAATTAACTCACTCTGGACTTTTTGAACTTGAGATCTCTGATCTATGAACTAAGACACTGAAGCTAAGTCCAAGATGTTCTCTGACTCCTAGCACACTGGGATTCTTACCATGAATAATGACTGATGGCTGAAATATAATTACCATGAATAATAGACTGATGGCTATTTCATGAATTCAGACTAATAAGACATTATAATTAAATCATACCTTAGACTTTTCTTAAGCTAGGTGTTCATTTCATTAGTATTCTTTGAATTGAAAATAAAGTTTATAAATACTGTGTTGTATACTTATTTCACATAAATTTTAGGGAATTTTGGTTGCCAGTAATAGTCTAGATTATTTGGACCACTTCTTCACTGGAAACAACTAAAAATTCTAGATAAAATATTTAATTTTTTTTTCCATAGAGGCATCAAAGCACTAACAAGGCAGAGAGGAATTACTGGATTGGATTCAAGAGAAAGTATGAACTAAGGTTAAAGGGGAACTTAAAGCTAGTTTTGCCTTAAGGGCATCTGCTTCCCCACCTAAATGAGTTGTGGTTTGATGTACTCACAAGGTGAAGGAGTCATGGGTCAGACACCTAGCCCATTAGGCTAGGAACACCAAAGGCTAGGCTCTGGGGGCAAGAATGGGCCAGCTCTTCCATCTCTAAGGCACTGAACAGAAGAATCCTTGCCCGTGAGAAAAGCAAGGAGGAAAAAAGAAAGAAAGAAAACCTCTCCCTGAAGGATTGTAATCATGGATTTGTGTTCCAATTCACATCAGACTGGTAGTCCAAGAAATCTCAAGCCTTGGATTTATTAAAGAACTACCTTTAAGCGCCTTAGTGGCATGACAGAAGTTAATGTGGATTCTTTCTAGAGGAAGGCACCTTCACTTCATCCTAGGCCTGAAGAAATATAATGCCATTGCAAAATGAGTTTTCAATGGCAATTAGCAGCACATAGTAAAAGATAACCAGGTACACAAGGGAACAAGGCACCATGAATGAGAACCAGCAAAAAAAGATAGCAAACACTGAATACTAAGTATCAGCTATTACAGGTAGAAGATGACTGTATTTATTATGTTTGAAAAAATAAAAAACCAGCTTGAAGACCTGCAGAGATCAAAGAGGATTTGAAAAAGAATGAAATAAACAATATAATTATCAAAATGAAAACTCCTTGGGCAAGTTTAATAGCAGTTTGGGCATATCAAAAGTAAAATTAGTAAACTGGAAGATCAGAAGAAATTATCTGGCATGTAGCACCCAGAGATAATATGGTAGAAAATACAAGCACAAGGAGTGTATATTGTATGGTTCCATTTATTTACAGTTCAAAAACAGGAAAAACTAAATTCTCTTATTGTGGATTATATATGGGGAGCTTTTGGAGTGATCATAAGGTTATATTTCTTGACCTGAGTGGTGGTACATGGGTGTGTGCTTTATAATTATTTATAAAACTGCATATATATCTTATGAACTTTTCTGAATATATATTATACCACATAAGAAATAATATATAACAAATATTTTAAAAATTAACTTGATCATTTTATAGATAAGAAAATAGGCCCAGGGAAATTAAATGACCTACAGTCTCTTGACTTTCAATCTGATGTTTTCTCCTATTATTCTTAGTAGCATTTCTCTGCTGTTTATTTACAACCTATCTGCCAGCTATTTTAACTCATCCATTTAAATTTCATCTTGTTGCTTTGAGATAGAGTATCTCAAATTTTCCAAGTGTATTATCTTATAGAATGAGTTTGGTGGGATAGGGAAGTCAATTATCATTTGCACATGAATTTTTAGTTTTCATTTGTAGAAGGATGCAATATATGTTCATATAATAAAGTAGATGTTTTGAAAGCTGGTTTTATTTCTTTTTATTTTCAGAAGGAGAAGTCTTTACCTGGGGTCATAATGCTTATAGCCAGCTGGGCAATGGGACAACTAATCATGGTTTAATGCCCTGTCATATTTCTACTAATTTGTCAAACAAACAAGTCACTGAAGTTGCCTGTGGGTCTTACCATTCTTTGGTGCTAACATCTGATGGAGAGGTGAGAATAGTTAGCGTAAATCTCATTGATTTTTTTCAGTAAGATTATATGGATTGTTACAGCCATCTTGGAAACATGGTCATTTGATTAAAATAACCACCTCCCTCAAATTCAACCTTATTCTTGTTAGCAGTTCATAATCATGGTGGTTACATCATTAAATGTACCTTTATGTAGTAAGGATTTCTATAACTGCAGAATTTAAAAGGTTGTAATGTTCTTTCTATATTGCTATATATATACTCAAGGGTTTTATTTGCAAAAAGAAAAGCCCTAAAATGCTGGAAAATATGGCTGAAGCCAAGTAGATATTTTGATAAATATTATATATTTGATGATCATTATTGTTATTTGTACAGATAATACCAATAACCTAATTTTATAAAGTATTGTAAATTTTGTAAGAATGAATTTTACAAAAACTTCTCTGCTTATGTTGTGAGAATTTATGGATATCAAGCATTTTGAAAACAAAGATGAGGCATTATGAGTACATGTTAATTTCTAATTGAGATACTTTGTAAGTTAATGTGTTTCATTTATTGATCCCCAGGTATTTGCCTGGGGTTATAACAACTCCGGGCAGGTAGGATCTGGATCAACAGCCAATCAGCCAATCCCTCGAAGAGTCACAGGCTGCTTACAGAATAAAGTAGTTGTGAACATAGCATGTGGGCAGATGTGTTCAATGGCAGTGGTGAACACTGGCGAGGTAAGAAAGTTATTTCATATGTTGTTTAGGAAAAAAAACCCATTTGCCTGATCGGTGGCGTGTTTCTCACAGCAGAGAGCTTACTTGCATGTGTCTTTCATGGGACTGAGTCTCTGGTTTTCTCTCAGGTCTATGTCTGGGGTTACAATGGAAACGGGCAGCTTGGACTTGGCAGTAGTGGCAACCAGCCAACCCCCTGTAGAATATCGGCTTTGCAAGGCATTCGTGTCCAGCGGGTACGTCCACAGTGGGTCTGTCTGTGCCTGGTTTTAAGTCTTTCATGGCAAAGATGCCAATGTACACAGTTTTCTTGGCAGATGAAAAGTTTAGCTGCTTGATGTTTTCTTTATTGAACTAAAAACTAAAGCTCTGTTTCCCTGAGTAAAGTTGTAGATGTTCATCAGGAAATTATGTTTCTAGGACACTCTCATACATAGCTGTTGGAATGTAAATTGTTACAGTCTTTTCCAAGGAAACTTTGGCAGCATATATCAAGAGCTTTGAAAATATTCATACCCTTTGTTCTGTAATTTTCTTCCGGGGATATTTAAGGAACAAAAAAGAAAGACACAGGATTAGTGGAGAAGATATAGCAAAAGAGGAAGGAAGCAAGGAAGGGAGGGAGGGAGGGAGGGAGGATAAAGAGGGAAAGAAAGAAAAGAAAAAAATACCAACTTTAATAAATAACATAAATAATAGATATAGCATAATTTAATCAAATAATGTTAGTGATTAAATAAATTATACAAAATCTACATGAATGGAAATGATGCTTACAAAGGATTTTTAATGATATGGAAATAGTGCTATGTGATGTTATATAAAAATGAAGATACAGACATGGTGCATGGAGACATGGTACATATTTCTGTACTTTATGTGTGTGTGTGTGTGTGTGTATAGAAAAAAATCCTGATCTTGAGATTACTTTCATATTTATACTTTTTTTATGGTAGTCCACATTAAACATGTTTTACTTTTACAATAAAAAAGGAAAGTAATTCTTAAAAAATAAAAGTGTATTTCATATTCACTTCACACCCCTTGATCTCTGTGAGCATAATGAATGCCATATGAAAGCTGAATAAACCAGACTCATGTCACTGAAGGAAATCATGTTGATCTTAATGGCCATTTTGGCCACATGTGGGCTGAGCTAGTTCTGGAGTAATACGGGTTACCTCAATGTTGGTCTCTCTGGGCAGGCTGCCTCTTTTTCTTCTTCTTCTTCTTCTTCTTTTTTTTTTCTTTTTTTTTTTTTTTGTTTTTACATCTTTGATTCTTTAATTAATTTTTTTTTCAACGTTTATTTATTTTTGGGACAGAGAGAGACA